AACGTTATGATTTGAAATAGGTTACGCTATTGAAATATCAATAAAGAGAGATGAAGTACTGCAAATATAATACATGCAACCTTAGAATTGCTCACTGGGTAACGCTGCCTATGGTGCTGCTGCCTTATTTTTTAAATAGCTTTTTAAGAGTAGCTTGATCCTGTTATATCTTCTTTCCATTCACAGACACATTCACATGCAAGAGGCAGACAAGGCAAGATCCCAGTAGAGAATGATGGTATTTTAATGTTGTAACTTTGCATATTCCAATGCCTGTATTTTCACTACGGCTGCAAATTACTCTTCTCAGCATTTTCAAATAATTTATCAAAGCAAGTAGCAAAAAATGTGACTTCAAGGGGCATTGTCCACAGCTTTAGAAACATCCCACTAAGACTTCTAAGCAGCCCAGTGAGATTGTATTTCTCACTTCAACTTTTTAAGGTTGAGTTCATTCCCTTTTATAATTTTAAATATCCATATCTATTTTCATCAAAGTAAATGTAGCAAACTCAAAGAGGAAGAAGAGATTGGCTTCTTGTGTTATCAGTAGCAATTGCTCCCCCATGGCTTTAATGTTATTTCTGTAGCTCTAAAACTTCACAAATGAAGGTGCTTATAAGAGTTGGCATCAGAGAATAAAAGAGATCTTATTTCATCACGAACTAAATCAGGAAAAAACTAAATGGTAAATATCTCTCAACTGGATACCGGGAGGTACTTGCTAAAATCTGCTCATTCATCCATTCTGCTGCATCAGTTTAAATTAATGCAATTACATTTGAATAATTTCTGTTAATATCATTAGCCATCAGATAATTACAGCACGCTATTCCAATGCAATTTAGGTATTAAAGGAACTTCACCTTTGGGCTAGAGCAATTTTTAATTTATCATTCTCAGACTTGAGATGTGCCTCGGCAGGACCACCATGCGATGCTTTCTCGTCGTCTGTCCCGTTCACACTAGATGCTCGAGTGGAAGATGGTGTTTCACGTCCAGATTCCTGCAGCACAACACACAAACGAACACTGGGCTTCTCCCGCATCTCCTGCAACACCGCGACACCAATTTCTTTGTAATCTTGATCCCACACCACCCTGCTGAGACCTAGGCTGCGTATGCCCTCCTGGCAGAACAGTGGTAACAAACACATACCCTTTACATCTTGGCTGCAGAGCCGGTCTGTTTAAAAAGAATGAAAAAATGATAACGATACACAAAATGGAAGTTTAAAGTGTTCCAAAAACATTTTTTTAAGTGTTTTAACTGACAAGGTTTGTGTTTTCTAAAGGTGGTTTGCTTTTTTTAAGATAATGAAACAATACAGTGCACCTGGAAGCACACAAAGCCCAAACCAAAAATAACAAAAAAAGAAGATACCGCTCCTCCAAAGAGATACCGTTCACAGCCTGCTTGGTGCTGATCACCACCAGAGAACAAACAAAGTGAACCATAAAGGCCATGACCAAAGTCTTCAAACAATTAGTATCCAAAGTCAGCCTCTCAGATCGTATTTGTGGACCCCACAAAGGGGGTTAGTTGCAAGACTGAGAGCATTCAGCGGCTTTTTTCCAATCACGCATCTGAATTTCTCTCTGATCAAAATTCGTCTAACCTTCCTCCGAACGTTAGCCCA